TGGGTCTAAAAAAATATGAAATTTCGAGCAGACTAAAGACACAACCTACCTCCTTGAAATCTTGGTTCGAAAGAACAAGATGACATCCTAACACATGAATATAGCTGAGAAAGCCACTAGGGAACATTCTGAGCTTTCGATTGGTTACTTCACAGATCATATATTGCAATAAATGTATATAAGGGACTGTTGGAAAGAGGTGAGTGGGACCACTGTGTTTGATTCAGTTCATAAGTGATATCTCAGCAAATAGAAAAGATATGAGGTTTTTATTTTATATTCTAGCATGTCAATATCTGTAATTTGAATTTCTAATTCGTACAAAACTATAGACTTAATATTTTGACATCACAAACATCTAATTTGAATCAGTGCTGCATTCAACATACCATGTGATACACAAAAACCAATGTTTAACTGTGTTTTTGATATTTACTTTTAAATTAAGAAATTAAATAATGTATAATACTAACATTTGAATTATAATCTACAGTTTGAAACCAAACTTATTGACATAAATTCATGAAATAGTAGTTCAATAGAATTATGAATGCGAGTCAAAAAATGCGATGACATGGCCTTTGACCCGTGACCCGTCTGGAGAGGGTTAAACTTCACCAAAGTATTCATCTAAAATATTATTTGTATTTTTATAAGGTTAGTTATGTCTCATTAAAATAGAATTTAAATTACTTGATCATAGAATGGAACAGCTATGAGAATACCCTTAAGTGAATATTATAGCATAAAGTAGATTCATTGTTTTACATTGGACACACATAACATTGTTATTTTTCTTGGCTATTACTGTGTTTTTACTTCATTGTTACTTAAACACCATATCTGTAAATTGTGATAATTCTGTATTTGTTTGACCCATGTTAAAACTTAGTTTATATTATATATATATATATATAAATATATATCTTATTAATTAGAAAAAATCTAATTGCTTTGATAAAGTTCACGTTGTTTAAACATAGTATATTAATATTATGTGATTAGAATCATCAAGAAAGCTTAGTTTCTTGATATCTGATATCAGAGTTTGAGTGGATGGGTTGAATAATGCTTCTGTTTTAATCATTAAGGAAACTTGAAATCAACTTATGTGAATATAAAATATTTTATGCACTCTTTCTAATGATGTGAATGTTATATGAATACGTAAATTCTAAACTTGAGAAAATCTACAGCTGAAAAATTAATACTGATTCAATAGTTTGGTAGAGCTGGATTTTCTTGTTCTGATTACTTGCATTACTTTTTCAAATTGTGTGTGAAGTATAATGCAGAATGATACATGTGTTGTGTTAAAAATGCCTAATAAGTTCTAATTTTTTGGCTGTTACCAAGTTTCACAACTTCTTTTATATGTTCACCTCATCTAAGCTCTTACTTGTAATCAGTCTGGTCACAGAAAGGACATGAGAAAATATTTTCTTTAGACTTGTTTATGATACGTTAGCATTGCTTCAACTTTCCATATATTTTGCTTTATTAAAAAATTTGTATCACAGGACACTGTAATTCGCCTGGAAGTGAGGTTTTCAGTACTTGGTTATTTGCTCTGTACTAATAACAGAAATAGAGGAGGAATTTTACAAATTTTTTGTGTAGTAAAATTCTTCACTCATGCCCCTTTAGTATGCTTCAGTTAATTTTTCTTAAAATGTTGCCTGGGGTTAGTAAAGCTACTGAAATGACCTGGTGGAACAAGGGTTAATCCTTATATAATGATTTAATGTATAAAAGAAAAATATGTAAAGAAAATTGCCCTACCTGTGTATCAAATTCATGGTGTTTTATTTATTTTTGTAACTGTAGAACAGAGGTTTTAAACATGTTCTTTATTTATCAGGAAACATCTTACTAGACAGTGGCACTACTAGTGGGGGAATCAAGATAACAGACTTTGGACTTAGCAAAGTCATGGACGATGAAAATTATAACCCTGAACACGGCATGGACTTGACTTCTCAAGGTGCTGGAACATATTGGTAAGTTTTGTTTTTTTATATATAAAACTTGATTTTACTATAGTAACTAAATTAAATCTGAATGCTGCCTTTTATAATTGTCTTGTAATTACTCATTTAAAAAAAATATTTTGACAATTATCTCTTCAACATTTTACCTTACTCTGATACACAGGTTGAACTTGTATGCAATTAACTTTTTGTGTAACTTAAATGATTTCATTGTACTTTCAAAAAGTTTTGAGGAAAGAAAAAAAAAATTATTGTTTTAAGTCTGATCACCCTGCACGTTTTTTTTAACATGTAATTTTTATTTCTTATTTTGAACTGTGAAGAACACAATAAGGATGTGCTGTGACTTGTCCTAAGGCAGTGTAGAATTGTTGTTCACCAATATTGTTAAATGGTTAGCTTGTTATCCAGTTTTCATTGGAACAAGAGAGATCTGTTGCATTACATTTAGGCAATAAACTGAAAAAAATATGTATATTGATGCATGGCTTTTAGCTGTGTTATATTTTATTTAACTTTATCATTATATCTTTCTAATTTGTTCTTTTGATTTTTAGAAACAAATCCTGAAAATTCTTTTCCAGGTATCTTCCTCCAGAATGTTTTGTTGTTGGCAAGAGTCCACCTAAAATCTCTTCAAAAGTAGATGTTTGGAGTGTTGGAGTAATTTTCTACCAGTGTCTGTATGGCAGGAAGGTAAGGTTCCTTCATCTTTTTATTCCTGTTACAATTTTTTATTTCTAAAACAAAAAAGTGTTCTATATTTTCATAAAATTTGTTTAAAATTTTCCTAGATGTGTGGGGAACATGTTGAAATTAATTGTGGAATTCTGAAACATTCTCAGTGCACACAGTTAGTGCCTCTTTTAAAAATTTGAGCTTTTTTGAATCTGTATGTAAATGTTTTTTGACTAGTTTTATGGAGAAATAGAAAGTATTAATGGCAAAAATGTAAGAATTCAAAATTATTAATATTGGGAAAATTTTTGTATTGCTTCTTTATAAATGATAATGTAAGAACCTGAAAACATCACAATAGTTTCAGGAATAGAATGTTTTAATTAAACAACAAAAAAACAAATAGATGTAAAGAATATTTACCATAATTTTCTATAGCCCTTTCATAGAATTCATTAGCTTTGCCTAAAACTCAATTTTCTGATATGTTGCTTTAAAAAAAATTATTGCAGCCATTTGGTCATAACCTTTCCCAAGCAACAATTCTTGAAGAGAACACCATTTTAAAAGCTACAGAGGTTGACTTCCCTGCCAAGCCTGCTGTTAGTAATGAAGCTAAGGTTAGTGTTTGTAATGATTTGTTTATGTTGTTATGAATTTCACATTAGTTTCCTTTAAAGTAAAGTCTGACATGGCCTAATGGTTAGGGTTATTAACTTGCAATCTGCGGTCCATAATCTCGTCACCTATCAACTATGTAAGTGTTATAATGTGATGGTAAATCCCACTATTCTTTGGTAAAAAGAAGCCCAAGAGCTGGCTGTGGGTAGTGTTGACTATCTACCTTCCCTTTAGTCTATCACTTCAAAATTAAAGACAGCTAGCTCAGATAGTTCTTGAGTAGCTTTGTTAGAAATTCAACAAAGTATGTAAAATGTTAACTTTTACTTTTCACTGACAAACTCTAATAAAAGTGAAGTGATTTATATTGATTGAAAAAGATTGTGAGTTATAACAAACAGAAGACTATTGCAAATTCATTTAGGTTAACAATTATGTATGTGCAACATACTTAATGTATTATTTAAAGCAGAGTTGAAAAACGATAATTTTAAGTATTCTTTTTTTCAAATTAAAGTTTGGCTAGTTATGATAAGTGATTAATGCAAACTTTACTTTCTCTTTCTTTAAATTTTATATTCAATTTGAAAAACTATATAATATTGTTGTATTGCTAAAAAAGTATTTTATTTGTAAAGTTTGTGGGCTAGTATAATCTGTTCAGATAGTAGTGAAAAGATTGTGCTGTATCTTTTATTATGATAAACAGAATTTCCCATGTTTTAAAGATATGATTGTTCAGATAGTAGTGAAAAGATTGTGCTGTCTCTTTTATTATGATAAACAGAATTTCCTATGTTTTAAAGATATGATTTGTTCAGGTAGTAGTGAAAAGATTGTGCTGTATCTTTTATTATGATAAACAGAATTTCCTATGTTTTAAAGATATGACTTGTTCAGATAGTAGTGAAAAGATTTTGCTGTCTCTTTTATTATGATAAACAGAATTTCCTATGTTTTAAAGATATGACTTGTTCAGGTAGTAGTGAAAAGATTGTGCTGTCTCTTTTATTATGATAAACAGAATTTCCAATATTTGAAAGAATCTAGGTACTAGAAATCAAAGTTTGAATTTAGATTATTTGATAATTTTATATATTTATTAATGGTTTAAATGACATGATTTGTAATAGATCTCCACAAGTTAACCATCAAGCTCTTTTCATCTCAAAAGACAGACAGATAATATATATATATACATATGTACTAATTGTTAATAAATAATCACGTTTAGCACACTAGTCATTGTTCATTTGCTACTGAACTTAAGTTCAAAAATTAGAAATTATTTATATATTTTAATCCTAAAAATTTAACTTCTCCTTGTTTATTATATGCTACAAATATCAAACTAACAATTATGTATTATTTTTGTAAAAGCTCCTTAATATCTCAGCTTTTCAGAAGCTGAAAATGATAGAAAAATGTTTGATATATGATTTCAATTGGAATAATTGTGAAGTGACTTCACCAGTTATGGAATAATTTGATTCTAAAATTACTTTTTTTTTTTCAGCAATTCATCCGCCGCTGTCTCCAATACCGGAAAGAAGATCGCATTGATGTATTTGGCATGGCAAATGATGACTATTTCAAATCCAACTATGGCAAATATAGCCGACAAACCAGTTCAACAGATAGATCATAGCCTTCTTTAAGGGGAACAGAATTTTGAGGATTTTGTTTCTCAAAACTGCAGTAGCTATTTAGCTTGTCAACATGCCATTCTAAATACAAAGGCTCTGCATTGATGTGGGGTGATGCTGGAGAGAGCTGGTGCCAAAGAATAGTGTAATGAATATACATTGTACTCAATCTACCTTTCCTGAAAACACCGTACGCCAGATCAGCAACATGATCTTCTTCTGTTTATTCTCTGCATTTTCAACAGCAGTCAATAAATTCAGAAATCCTAATGTATACAAGGAAAATAATGTGATGGAACCACAAAGGTAGTGGCACTTGTATGCAAATTTCTCTCCAGTTTGAGTAGCAGTTGCGTTTAATCTCAGGTGACATCTCTACCCTTGTGAGCCTAGATGTGCTCAGTGTAATATAAACTGTACAGAGTTTAGATGAGAAAGGAACAGCATAAATACTTTATGAGTGTGTGTGTGTGTGAATAATTCTATAATATGAAAACTACAACATATTACTTTTGTGTAGAAAAGTTAAAAACTAAGGGGTTTAATCTGATCAATTAATAGTCCAAACCATCTCTTCCTGTGAATAGTATTTAAAGTTTGACCTCTTATTATAAATTTAGGTGAATTTTATTGAAAAAAAAGGAGCAACTTCTTCAAATTGCTGAAAAACTGCAGTCCAGTATTTATCAAGTCAGTGTTACAGTATTTACTGAATCAGTAATATATCTTCAATTCACTGAGTCAGATATTCAGGATCTCCTAGTCCATCATTTGAGACCTTACTAAATCAGTTTGTTCGTCATGTAGGGAAACAAATGTTGTGTTCTGGATTAACAATTTATTAGTTTCTCAGTCATAACTCTATACTTAATCTACATAAAGAATTATTGTATAATACTTTATTTTTACAGGCTCAATATTTTAGTGGTTTACTGATGTGGTTGCTAAATAACTACTAATTCCAAAGTCTACAGTTAACCACTGGACCTATTGATAGAGTAATCCATTTAGTAATGTTTGGCACAATTCTTCTCTATTTTCTCTGTTAACTACTCAATACTCAGGAATGTATTTGACAGTAAGCATTATCAAGATATTAACTGAGCCATTCATTTTACTAACTATATGATAATCTCTTTGATAATTACTGAATTAGCCCTTCAATTTTATTTAAGTAAATCAACACCTCAGTATCTTCAGTCAGCAAATACTCAATTAACCATTCAATGCCTCTTGGTTCACAATTTCAACAAATAGTACGTTTGTTATACATTAATCCAGAATCAGTCTTAACATTTAGTTAATTTATATTACATAATTAACACTAAGTAAACTTTAGTACCTAATAAACTTATGGTATATTAGTCTCAAAGTGGGTTCCTCGTCATCGAATTTAAACTTATGGAATATTAATCACTGAGAGTATGTTAGTATCAAGTAAAATTAACTAACATTAACTACCAAACTAATGCCTAGCATATAGCAACCTACCTTACTGAATTAATTCTGAATCAACTTTTAAATTGAAATTTGAGTTAATAACTTTTGAAACATCTTAGTGTCGGACCAGGCATGACCTGATGGCTAGCGTGCCAGATTGAATCTTAGGGTTCATTATTTGCATCCTTTGCCATAAAAACTTGTTTTGCAGTTGTGAGTACATTATAGAAGTAACATTCAAATCCTACTATTCAATTTAGAGTAGCACAAGAGTTGGTGGTGCATGCTGTTGACAGGCTGCCTTTCGTCTAACTTAACAGTTCTAAATTATGAAAAGTTTAGTGCAGATAGCCCTCGTGTAGCTTTGCACAATTTTCTGAAATATACAAACCTTAATGTCAATCTTTTGATAACTGTTGGTTTAACTCTTGAGAATCCTTCTAATGAATTAAATCATTCCTGTTGAATCAATTGTTTAACAACTGTTTGACTAACAAGTTTCATTACCTTCTGAATTATAATTTCTTTATCATCTTGATTGATGCATTAGTTTTCACTGAATCATAATAAAACTTCAGGTAATTGCTTGATTATCACTTCCATTTGTATTGGAACATCATCAACATTTGCTGAACCGGTATCTAAATTTCCTCTGAATCAAAACTTCAGTAGCTACTGAATCTACAGTTTTTTATTTACATCTGAATCTGTCAAATCAACATTTTATTATCTTCTGGATTAAAAAAATCAGTTTAAACTGAACCCATCTTAGTACTTGTGAGAGTGTTACTTTGTTATCTGCTAAATCAACACATTGGCATATATTAGATCAACATTTCTGTATCTTCCAAATAGACTTTGTGGTGTCTACCAAGGAAATACTTTGTTTTATATTAGATCAGCTCAAACAACAGCTCAGTTGCCACTAGACTAAGAGTTTGATACCAACTGGATTGGCACTTGGTCACCACTTTGCCAGATTTGACAATAGCTAAGAAACTTTCAGAGTAAAATATCAGAAATCAAACAATGGACAATTACTGGATACAAAAGGGGTATTTCCTTTATTAATTTGTTTGCATTTTAACAATGCAAAGTGATTGTGATAGACAGCAGAGGGTCTCTTTTCTCAACTGATTATTAACTTAGTCATTGTCACAGCTCTGACATCAAATTTGTTGTTACAAATTATCTTGTATATTAGATGTTTGTGTGGTGTAGGTCAGCAGATCTGTATTTTTTTTTTCCTGAAGTTCATCCAAGATTACCTTCAGTTAATGTAAGTCAGGACTCCATTTGATAAAGATGACCCATCTCAATAGAACAGCAATGGCTGGCAGTTCCTTGAATGTTGAAAACTGAAGACATAAAGTCTGTGATAATAAAAAACAAATGTCTCTGTCTCATGTTTCTATTTAAAGAAAGAACACAATAAGCTTCCTGAACAAATATTTCACAAACTAATTATAAAATTTCTTTTAACAGCATTTCTAGTCAGTACAATAAAACATGTGGGTCACTAGTCATTTTGAAATAACATACTGGTCAAAACTGAAATTGCTCTGTTTGTGATTGGACTGTTGGCATAGATGATGCATGTGTGTCTGATATATTTTTGAAATAAACATTTAATTTTCTTTATACTTGCTATGGTAAAAGATACTTTGTAGACTGAACACCAGTGTATCACGAGACTGAGTATATTATTCCGTCAGGGATTCATGAAAAAATGAAGTTATATTAATGTACTTTTAAGAAACGTATTGATATTTTTATAATAAGAAATATAGCACGAAGATTTATGAACGGAAAGATATGTTCATTTTGCCACAAGCGAATTTCATTTTAGAAGTTCATTTTTCGTACGTGTTGTTAACTTATGTAGCTGTTTGCCATTCTAATTGGTTACTAGTAATTATATAATCTGGCTTTGAGTGTATAATTTGTCTAATGCCTTCTTTTTTCTTCTAAAAAAGAATAGTATTTTATAAGATAAACAATGTGAGCTGGCATGGCAACGATTTCATGGATGCACCGTCACAGAAATTGTTATCAAATCACGTATTATGTGGGTGTTGTTCTGGGATAAAATCATCTTACTTATAAGAGTAATTTTCTATAATCTTGGCTCAGATATTGCCCTCAGTGTCCTTCAAGCTTCACGAACATTTTTCATCATGCAGAAGGTGGGCCTCTAATACATCCTTTGAAAAATTGCTGTGCTCAGACACAATTGAATGCACTGTTGACCTAAAAAATGAAAAACTGCTGGTAAAGTGCTTACTTAATAATGATAATAACAGCAGGAGTGGAAGCTGGATGTTGTACATATAAGAATTACTGATTAAAAACAGTAAAACTAGAATATTAAGTGTCGTCAATACAGAAACCTTTCATTAAATACATCTGTGATTGGGCCGTAGCCTCATGGTTAACATGCTCAGATTGTGAATCATAGGATTCATGGTTCTCATCTTGTAGTCACAAAAACACACACTCCGCACTTTCCATCTGTGGTTGAACTATAAGGCAAATGTCAAATCCTACTATTCGGTCGTACAAGAATAGCCCAATAGATTTTGGTGGGTGCTGTTGACTGGCTGCCTTCTCCCTTGTATTTCAGTTGAAAATGAGGGATGGAGGGCTATGCTCAACTAGCCCTTTACGTGAAATTTCTAAAAATAAAAAACGAGTGATTTTATAAGCACGATAATGCCTTTTTTGTTTTTTGATATGTGATAGTTGAAGAATTTGGAAAATTGTTCAGTCCTCAGTAGAAGAGATAGGGATGGCTGCCACTTCAAATTCAATACGGGTCTCTAATGAAAGATTATTCAGGTTTTATTTTGAAAATATGTTGGTATTTTGTTTAGTCAGTATATTGTAAAGTCTGCCGCCTGTATAATTCTTTTGTAATAGAAGTGCTGCTTGTAGAAGGTAATGCATTTTCCGGTGCATTCCCTTATGTATGTATGTATAGGCAGAACTCCCTATAGTTTTATAATATTCTCAGGCTCCAATTAAAAGTCATATATATCTTGCACATAAAAAGATTTAGTTAGACCCGAGGAGTGGAATTCATGTTTCTATGAGCTCTCCTATTTTTTAATTATTATTTTACAATTTATGGCATGATTGTAACACTTATATCTGATACAGTGAAATGTAATAAGAACATCAAAGGTTTTGTAGCGCTCGAAAATTTCCAGACTAGCCATCCTCAATGAATATTATCAAAGGTTGTGTCATAAGTGTAGGCTCTCGTGAAATAGAGAATAAAGTAATAAGGATTGCGTGTAAATAGTAACTGAGTTACTTGTCTATGATATGAAAGTTTTGACTAATGGATTTATACTTTGATTTCGTGGATATTAAACACTTTTGACCTCTAGAAAGAGATTCTATTAAAACAGTTGTTGTTCAAAGCAATTTATTTAATTTAACTAGCGTCTCAATCATTACTTTGTATATTGTATCTCAGCCGGCCTGGAGAACCATGGTATTGTACGAAAGGCCTCTTCGGCACTGGATATAGCAGAAACGGTTTGTTTAACATATTTTACGCTATTCATTACTTTCACCCAAAAGTTCTTGTTATTACTGTTGTAGTTTTCTCACGTTGACGCTATGGTCGCTTGTAGTCGTGTATCCGAAATTAAAAATCTAGCCTTATGGTTCGCCAGTTCTACTGAACGATAAGTATGTTTATTCAAATTAAATAACTAAATAATGATAATACTAATGACAATTTGGTGTTAAAATAAATACAATGAATAGTGTTAAAAATCCTCACCCTAAAAATCACAATTCACTAATTTAAAATAGTTGTTCAAGAAATCTACTGATATCAATAGCTCTGTCGTATCCCAGACGGTCTGAATAACCCTGTCCTACGGTGGGACATCGGTAAGTCTTCGGATTTACAACGCTAAAATCAGGGGTTCGATTTCCCCTCAGTGGACACAACAGATAGCCCGATGTGGCTTTGCTGTAAGAAAACACACACTGAATAACCTTAAGTATAGCAGATATAATGTGACTAATATACTGTTATTTACTTTCACTCAGAAGTTTTCATAAATCCATTATTGATTTTGAACTGTACTTTTCCTTTTTATGGAAAATTTACAAGTATTTTGCTTTATGAATTAGGTCAGAACAAAATATTTCATTCAGTTATTTAAATATTCCATGCTTTTGTTGTTGTTATTGTTCCTATCATAAATCTATGCAAGTGCTTGTATCTTTTTTAACCTAATATTAAACTTCAAATTTCCCAACAAACATGCTCGCCCTTTCAGCCGTGGGGGCGTTATAATGTGACGGACAATCCCACTATTCGTTGGTAAAAGAGTAGCCCAAGAGTTGGCGGTGGGTGCTGATGACTAGCTGCCTTCCCTCTAGTCTTATACTGCTAAATTAGGGACGGCTAGCGCAGATAGCCCTCGTGTAGCTTTGTGCGAAATTCCAAAAACAAACAAACTTCTAATTTAAACTCTCGGAATTCTGATGGGAACTTCTTTGAACTTAACTGTGCGTATTACATTAATACATTTACCGGATACATCGTTTACGAAATTAGCTATCTCGACCATATCTTCCGCTTACATCCAACAGATGTTTGCTTGTCTAATTTTCTCTTGCGGAAAACAATGCCTGATACATCACAGATGTCATCTTATGCGGGTTCTGTGTATAAACATTATAAGTACATAACCGAAGCAGTCGTGTATACGATTTGTTAGGTAGAGCAGAAAGCTTCAAAAACTTGAGAGAGTATTAAAAATTTAGAAAGTTATTGACTTGTATTTCTTATTCCTACGCCTATAAGTTTCCAAGAAAGATTCTCAGCAACAACCCAACTGCGCTTATAATATTTGTTATTGAAAAAATAGAGATGTTTGTTTATTTTGAATGTCTCACAAAAAAATGTAAAAGTGCCACAGAAGTGAAGTGTAAATGTGCCTTATATGATTTTTTATGTTTAGCCTGTACAGTTTTCACGCTTTGGTTGTTCAAAATGCAGATCAGATAGATTGTAGCATTTCCTGTTATGTAAAATAAGAAACGAGAACAAGTTAATCGTTGATGTTCGTGATTATTACATATACTGTTAAGTAAACTCAAATTCAAAAATTACACAATTATCTGGCCTGACACGGCCAGGTGGTTAGGGCGCTCGACTCGCAATCTGCGGGTCGCGGGTTCAAGTCCCCGTCCCACCAAAAATGCTCACCCTTTCAGCTGTGGGAGGCGTTATAATGTGACGGTCAATCCCACTATTCGTTGGTAAAAGAGTTGGCGGTGGGTGGTGATGACTAGCTGCCTTCCTTCTAGTTTTACACTGTTAAATTAGGGACGGCTAGCGCAAATAGCCCTAGTGTAGCTTCGCGCGAAATTCAAAAACAAACAAACCATTTACAGTCTTAGTGTTTCTTGATTCTCTGAATGCTTCTGGATAGACCACATTAGAAGTTCTCCCTGGACCAAAATAGAAAATATTTGTTGGTGATCCTGCTCTTAAACACCTAAAATAGAACTAAATATGTGAAAAGCAAAGGGTTTTCAAATAAATCCCTGCCACTTTTTCCTGTCAAAAAATGTGAATGTCTGACATTTTTAATGAAAAAAAACTCCAAGTTTTCAAAGAAAAGCTAAACAAAATTCAAATAAAAACTCAAAATGAAAAATCTTAGGAATAAACATTGGCCCAAGACTGAAAAGTCATTAACTAAGCAAACATATTTTTGTTGTGGGCGTGACCCAGGATAGGTGGCGCCCGATAATAACCATTCTATGACATGCACCTTAGTCCAGTGTATCATCCTATAAAGTTTTATTGAGAATGGTCTAAAGACCACGGAGTAGTTTGAGGACAAACAAACAAACAAATTTGTTTACTTTTATAAGTTTAGATGGAGCCCATTTTAGAATAATTAGATTTTACAAACTGCACAACTAAGTAGATATCGTGTATATAGCATTAATTAATGTACTATTGCGTCTGTGCTTTTTTCGGTTGAGCTTTGAGCTGTTAAGATTGTTTATTGAAAATTAAAAGCTATACCAGAGATGGCTATAGCATTTACACTTAAGCTACAATTCTTATAAAAAATAATCAAAACTCGTTTTTAATTACTTTAAACATGTTGATAATTGCAAATATTGAACATGAATTTATTATCTCTACTGCGAGGTAGCGCGTGAAAATACCCAGAAATTTGATATCTGTAACGAATTTGTTATTATACATTTATTTTAATATTAACGTTTGTTTAGATTAAATTTATAGTTAGAAACATACATAT